TACACTATACAGCTAGGTTTGCTTTAAGAACCTTCTGTGTGTGTAAATGCTGGCCATTCTAGGAGCTAATGGTTAGTTTGCATTCCTAATGAACAGCAAAATTTCCATGAATTGCAGTGTAGAAATATACAAATAGTCATGAAATAAAAGATTCCATGAGATTCTTACTTTTGATTGTCATTTCCCATGTTTTCCATGAGTGCACAAGTTCTCCAGCTCCCCAAAATACATTTATATACAGCATGACGTAGGATGTTGACTTGCAATGTGTATAGGTCAGTAGGTTATTTTAGAGGGCACATAACAGCTAGACTTTTGGGCTTGTACTTCTGTCTCGCTTCTAGCTGCAGCCTTTACATGCTATTGAATTGAGAGTTCTTTAACATCTGAGATCATAGCTAGTTTTAGGCAGACAAGCTTAATGAATCTCTAAAATACTGGGTTAAATATATAACGTTTAAATCCTGAGAAATCCTCCTAGATGAAAGGCAAACAGATCTTATTTTGACTTTCCAGATTCTTGTGCCCTCCTATTCAGCACTAAATACAAATAATTGTAATTTTATTGCTTTGTTTCCTTACAGTACTGAAAGTGTGCATCCAAATAACAATGGTAAATTGCTCTGCATGAATTCAGAATCTTGCACATTAGTATGATTGCAGATAATAGAATAAAAATGGTCATCACACATCAGTCTTGCACAGGCAAATTTATAGAAGTTTTTTCTGAAAAATTTGAAATCACTGATAACATGACCTAAAATAATTTCATTTTTCAATGCAATATTCTATATTTAAATACAACTGTAAATAAATTAAATACAACAATAGCCGGACTGAAAGGACAAAACAGCGTGAGGCAATGACTAATAACGAGACTAGAAATTGCACAGACATTTGCTTAAAGTTAAAATGGAATTTTACCTGACATTTCTTGGGTTATCTATACCCCATCTTCCTGAAGTTTAAAAAAAAAAAAAAAGCATAGAAAGTACAGACTTCTGGCCTTATCTTTGCCTAAAATAAAGGCCCTGTAAGCCTATGAGACCAATTGGTTGGTTTATAGAAACTTAAATTCAGCTGATACTTTTTATTGCTGTTCTTTACCTTCCTTTTTCTAACATTTGCATTATGGCAATTTAAATTAGCACATTTCACAGCTTTATAGCTGGCACATAGGATTTCAGCATATTCATATGGAAATACTGAGTCCAAATCTGTAATGTCCAACACAGCTAAAACCCGGTCTTCATGTTTTCAATTGAGAAGTGGTTTTTAAAGCCTTTATAGGTACTCCACACTAAAACAAGCTACATGATGTGGTTTACATTTGGTTTGTTTTGGAAAACCACTTTTCTGCTTTTCTCATCCCTGGTCAGTTGTTTGACTGCACGCATGCTTGTTTCTTATGCAATACAGACACCACCAACAAGCATATGCTTCCTCTGGTACAACTAGAGTGGATTAAATATAAAAGAACGAACAACAACAACAACAAAAAAACAGTTTTAAGTGTTCAGATTATTTTTCATTGCCTGTTTCTTTGTGGAGCCCATAAAACAACAGAATGCATGGCAAGCTGTTTGTATCATGGCAGTGTGGTCATAAGCAACTATTTATCTATCCACAAAAAGATGAACTACGCCTTTTAACAAATTAAGGACCTAAATATTTTAGCACTGCTATTCTTAGTGTTGTTTCTCTTAGCTTGTTCAGACTGAACTAATGTCATACTGAATTCTACAAATCAAACCTATTTCAAGTTGGAATAACTCCACTAAATGTTTTGTACCACCGCACTGAGCAGTATGTGCCAAAATTTGTTTCTGAAATAGTTATGAAAACTTTACAAATTATGTGATAAAGCTACAGACATTCACCATTATTAAGTATCAGCAATATATTAAGAATAGCTTTTACTTTCATATTTTTATATATTATAATCCGAAATACATTAGGACCAGATAGCACTAAACACTGCATGTAATACAACTCCAGTACTTTTTTTTCCTTTTTTATTGGCTTATCAATACCACTGGAATTGAATGAAAATTATTTATTTTGTTGTTGCTGTATCACTATGTAAGTATTTGGCTATTTTATTAGTAAGTTTTCTCTCTGCATTTCTTTGACAGCTGTTTTGGCTCCTTACTGAAAATCCAAATGCTCACACATGCTCACCTATACACACCCAATTCCTCATTTACATATCACTTCAATTTTTTTTTATTGTTTTCCAAAGGCTAATAAGACATCCAGGCTATTTGAATGTCATTATTAAAGATAGACGTAATACGTCTAAAAAAAATCTAAATTATTTAATGATTTGTAATCTTTCTATGCATCATGTATTGGTTAGTATGACAGTCAGGAGCCGAGGCAATAAATTATCAAAGGAATAGGAGCTATTGTTCAGACAGCAGAGTCTCTTTCACACTGAGTAGCCAAATGGGTTGGTTTGAATTCCTTTCCATCTCTTTGATGGAGAGAGTAAAAAATAAGCTAATTTTGATTACATCAGAAACACTCACTCTTTTGGGGCAGGTTATCATGCAACACAGCTGTTCTTTAGGTGTCAGCAATTTTAGGGTCCTTTATTTTTTTCCCCTTTAATAACAAATTGAGATATCAGGGACATAGTCTATGGTTAATTATACACACATAACTGGGCATAGGCATTAAACAGACACTACTGTAGTGAAGGGGAGTAAGCTTTTGATGCCTAAAGAATCAAGTAAAATCAAGCCATATTTTTCCTAGCAAATACTACAGAAATACCTTCTCTTTCTGTTTACTTGTTTGCTAAAATGTCTTATAAGTTTGAGATAGTCAAGAAGCACCTTTAGCAGCCATTTACTGAAAACTTGTCAACACTGATATGAGGAGGAAAACCACAAAACATGAAAACAGAAGAAAGACACTTCACTGTTAAAAACAACACAAAAAAGCCCACTGATCATAGCTTTATCAATTTCATTTCCAAAACCTTGAAAACAAAAAGTCAATATGATAACTTACAGTGAGACATTTTTTTTAACATCTTTGATAAGCCTCCTCTAGAAATGAAGTTTCAACATTTGCTTTCTTATTGCGTCTCCCCAAAGACTGATACTAGTCCCTTTAATTACCCTGCCTTCTGCTTTCAGATTTGCCTACTCAGCACTGAGTTGTTCTCTCCTCCATTACCTGCAGGAGATTATTGCCACACAGTTATGTTCTAGATTCCCACTGGAAAGAATGAGGAAAAGAGAACAGTAAAGTCAGCCTAACCAAAATGTTTCCGTCCTACTGCAGATCAAAGATAATAATTCAATCTAAATAAAGGAAGTTATCAGTATTGGCTTTGCTGATATCAGTCTGTGCTTTGCCATGAACTGGAGCTGTGACAGAAATTCACACAGAAATTTAATTTCTATGCCTCTTTTTTTGCTGTTGCTACCTTCTAGGAGGACTGGAGACTTCAATGAAGCCAGGATCTCAACATACAGTACTATTAACATTTCCTGTCACCCTTAGAAAGAAGGCAATAAGAAACAAATATGCCAGAATTATAGTGCTTGCTAGAAAGACTTTTGTGGATCCTAGTCTGTGCTGTATTTAGCAATAATAACATAAGATGAATAATAATGAAGATGACATAACTTTGCAACCCAGAGATAGGAAAAACATTGTTTAGAAGCTATGTTCATGAGCTTCTCATCTAGACTATAACGGTCATTAAAAATATGGTGAAGAGAATACTATACTATTATTATGATATTAATGTGGCTTGTTTTGCTTTCTCAACCATTGCCACCCCCATTGTATGTAGATTCCTTATATTCTTCTCCCACAGTGGTTGCTGGAGTTCTTGAACTCAGACCTCTAGACAGATCCCTGGTGATCTAACCAGCTGTGTACAGGTTAACTGATGCTTTGTTTAGCTGTTACTAATACTACTGTTACTTAGCTAAACACTATGAAAAGCTAACACAAGAAAGGAAACGCCATTTTTTTCAGCAATTTTTTCAGCAGGAAAAATATTGCTATCAATGGATTTTCATGTCCATGGTCTCTGTACCTGATCATACCAGCCAAGTTCATGTGGTGGATTTACATGCATGTTACTCAGGATTCATCTAAGTATAAGATGAAATATCTAAAAGCAGATTTGATAGAAACTTTAATGAAATAACTCCTTAAACAGAAGAAACTCAACCATATTACGTGAAACTTATAAAAGTGTTCAAAAACAAATTTACTCATAGCCTACCGTATCTTTGCAGGACAAATCTTTCTGGAAAACCTTGTGGTGTTCAGTTGTTACGTAGATTTCAGGGTCCTCCAAGTCTTGCAAAATCTCTTCTCCTAACTGTTATCTCCAAAACTTGGGTTTCACTCTTTTTGCTGCTCGAAGCCTTCCTTGACTACACCTTCATGTTTCTTGTGATTTCCTCTCTGTTCCAGCTTTGTCCTAGTGAAGTTTCTAGATCTGTGCAATCAAAATTACTTCTAGAGAAGAATCTAGGGGTCCTGACTTGGCAGCTTTTCTTCCTGGTTATACTTTCCATCAAAAATATTTTGCCTCTTAAGTGGTATCCAGTCATTTCTGACAAATGCAGTACTTGTAGATGAGTGATAACTTCCCTTCTTCAGAGAGATGTGATCCAGTTTTAAACCATATGGATTTACAAGGATTTTAGGATGTTCCTAGAGTATGAGCTGCTGCATTAAATGTATTTATGGGATTTTTCTTTCTTTTTGACATGTGCTTTTTTCCCCACCCCTCAAACTTCTTCTGAAGCTCCATGCTTCAGGTTTTGGATCACAATATGATTCTGTAGTGATATTCAAAGGCATAAGTCTTACTTCCATATACAAACTTAGGCTATCCCCAAACGTTCTACTGAATAATCAAAAAGGATTGAGGGGGGTTTACTTTGTCTTTAGTTTACTACAATGCAAGATTGTTTATTTTGTTCTGCTTTTTTTTTATTTCCTGAAACTATTCCAATTCACTGACATCAAATACAGGATGCTTGGATGCCAGAAGCAAACATAATGACATGGTTATACCATAAATACCATACAAAGTAGTAACACAACTGCATTACTGATATCTAGCATTTCTTTCTGCTAAGCCCTTTTTTTTTTTTTATTTTTAAGCTATCACTGTGTGCTGGAAGCTATCATTAGCTTTCAAAGGGTTAGTTTTCCAAAATGCAGTAAGCCACTCACTAAGTGCAGCCCTGCAGTATTTGTTTCTGCACATGTAACCTTACATTTAATTTCACTGCATCACCTTTTTCCTGTGCAACCTCAGTCACCCTACAAAAATGAACATTATTGCCTACTCAATCATTTTCATGTCAATGGCAAGTTACTTGCAGCTTTCCAGCTGAGTGAAGCTAAGCACTGCACTCTGTTTAATGATGTTTATCTAGAAGTAATGCGATAGTTTTCCAGCAAGCCAGCTGAGTAATCTCCAGTTTTCAGGGAATGTTCTAACCACATGCAACAGCTTTTTTTTGAAATTGAAAATCTGGAAAGAGAAAAGTAGGACAAAGTTTTTTTGAAGTTGCTTAGCAGTGTCTTCACTTTCAGCCTAACTTGTTAACTGCTTTATTTTGAAACATAGTCCATCAGTCATTAGTACCATTCAAACTTGCTCTCATACTAGTAGGTGTACAAAGGCTTGTACACAGTCTGATTCTGAAGACAGTCACACTGGAGGCCCTCAAAAAAACAGTATTAATTTATCTAGAGTCCTTGTTGTAAAGGAAAAAACTGTTACTAACAAAAAAATACTGATTCTTTTAATAGATTTATTTAAAATTCTACCCTGTGGATTTTAGGTATGCTTAAAGAAGGTGCTTACATTTTACACACATTTGTAAAGCATACTAATTGTTATAACTACACCAAGAGTCAGCAAAACTCATATCAAAATAGAATAAAACGTATGTACTATCATCTACAACACCTAAGGCTTTAAAAGTGATCCAAATGCTGTCAGTATAAAACTGAACTGCATTCAAGCAAAGATGACAATTACAATCTATATGCTTACACAACTGTAGCAATTGGACAGATCAATACAATGGGAAAGTCATTGCAACAGAAGTGTGATGATGGAAGAACTGGCACAACAGAGAGGTCTTAGAAAGGAATGGAAGACTGCTCACCCATATCAGAAGATTCTAGTTTGTAGGGGAAAGCTTCACCAAGGAGGGATCTCCAGGGAGAGTTCCCTCCCCAGTGGCAGTCAGCCCTTAAAAGCGGTGCAGCCAGGCTCCACCCCTTCCTGTCACACAGGTGAATTGCCTTCAACTGTGCTTCCAGAGCTGACCAGGTCCTTTCCCCAGAGGTTCAATCAGTGGTTCAGGCCATGACTCAATTACAATACCACACAAAATATTTAAATGTATTTACACAGTGAGTATGCTATTTAAAAGAGAACAGAAATGAAACAATTTCTGAAAGATCAGCAAGTGTAATTTGTGCTGGGCAAAACAAGGTGAAAAATATATACCTCCTAGATGACTAATAACATTGTACAATATCTTCACCTTGAAGAATATTCAAAGTATGTGGAAGATGAACTGACAATATTATAAGCAAAATAAAAATAAACAACTGATGAAACTAGGTGAGGAAGGGAGCAGTTTGTCAATGTGAGTACTATTTGGTAGCATATGATACAATTAACATAGCTGCAGAACATCTCTGACCTTAAGAGCTTCCAAGGACAGAAAATCACAGAATATCCCAAGTTGGAAAGAACTCAGAAGAAACGTGGACTGCAACTCCCGGCTCATCACAGACCACTCGAAATTCAAACCTATATCTGAGAGCACTGTCTAAGCACTTCTTGAGCTCTGGCGGCTTCAGTCTGTAACCATTGTCTTGGGAAGCCTGTTCCAGAGTCCCACCACCCTATAGCAAAAAACCTCTCCCTAACCCCCACGTAATGCAGCTCTGTGCTGTTCCCTGATGTCCTATCACCAGAGCACAGAAATCAGTGCTCGCTTCTGAGGGACAACAATACAAAAGATAGCATGACCTCTCCAGGCAGTTAGCTACACTGATATACTGTCCTCATGTTGAGGAGGTTTTCCCTTAAATTCACTTAGAATCTCTCTTTTCAGCTCATGCCAACTGTCATTCTCTTACCACATACTACTGAACTGCTTAGCTTTGTCTTTTTTATAACCTTCTTCTACATGCTGGAAGGCTACTTTATGTCCTGAAGACTTCTCTTATCCAGGCTGAAGATATTGACCTTAAGTCTTTAAAAAATCTCTAATGTATTAAGTACAGTGACACAGAAAGCAAATTCTTTAAAAATTGTATTTGCTCTACATATTTACGTAGCAAATAACGAACAACACTGATTTGACTTTCAACTCACATAGGTGCTTATTTTCAGCTCTTCTTCATGGCAAGATTTCCAGATTTCCACTTGTAATTGACTGAAAAAAAAAAAAAAAAGAATTGTGAAATGTCTTGTTAGTCTCTGCAAATCAAGAGTTTGCTGTAGTCATATGTATCTACAGAAATGGAGGTTTTAATGATGGCACTGAATTACAGGCTTGAATGCTTTGGAAAGCAATGGTGCCAACAACAGTAACAGAGCTTGACAGATAGATATTAAGATTTGGATCAACACATTTTAGTTTTGAAGAGAACAGCAACACAGATTTCCATTAAAGTCTCCACATACTTAATTACAAAATCACTCACATCTTACAAGCCAACTCCTGAGGTTATTGCTATTCTAAAACTTCTGTGGAAATGAAATAGTTCACGAAGTAATGACTTGCAGATTTGGCTTCCACTGAAGTCTCTGGCAAATATACTTACATTGGGCATGGAAACAATTTTGGAGAACTACAATATGGGAGCCCTCTGGTGGTTAAAATACTAAAATGCCCCTAAAATGCCAATCACTTAAGTAAAAAACGTCTCACAACACTGGATGTTTATATCTAAGAATGATGCATCTTGTGATTATTTCTTAAGACTTGTTTAATTGAATTACCTTTAACAAAATAGCGGATTTACACATTGCTCTTCTATAATTCTGTTTCTCCTTCTGTTCTCTTCCTGTTTTTCTTCTGTTCTCCCTTGTAATACTCATGTTTGGCTGGAACTTGAAGAGAAAAAAATTCATGGTCAGGAAGGAAATGAAAGAGGAGGAACGTGTAAAACTAAATTCTTGTCAACAACAATAATTAAAGAAACATTAATTTCTCATGTCTCCTGTTTCTATTGCCAGCAATAAGGAGCTTTAACACTTAGTTAATATTAACTCTTAGTTAACATTATCTCTTAGCTTGAAGCCCTAACATTCCCTTGAGTCTTGTAATATAAAGATTATTCAGTATTGAAAATTCTGGGGTGAGTAAAGACTGACATTTTCGCTCACTTTTTTATACACAAATTGCACATAGAGAGCCATTTGGATACTTATTTGAATATTTATTCTTGCCCACTATCTCAGGACACTCACCGTGTAGCAAAGGGATTAGTAGTTGGTTGTATTCATACTCATCCATAGCCAAACAATACCTGATCCTCAAGGAATGAGGGAAATAGTAGAAAGTAGAATAGATTGCTTTTCTGCAAATTCAAAACTACAGTTGTAACTGCTTTTACGCTACTGCAGATCAAAAAGCCTAAATGATAAAACTTAAAAGTCAGCAGCCATTACCTCATGCCATTCCTCCTTTGTGTGAAATTACCCTACTACTCAAACCTTGGTGAAATTACTAAGAATAACAATTCCCTTCACACTGCCCCAAAAGTTACATCCTATCTAAATATAGTTGCTGAGTGGCATTAATCAGTGACTTGTTCAGCTAGGAAGGGATGTTTGGGTGGGAACATCTTGTGGAATCCTCCTACTCAAAGCAAGGTCACACTGAATCCAGATTGTTCAAGGTTTAAATCCAATAAAGAATAAAGAAATCTTCTCTACTGCTTAATTACTCTCACATAATTTTTTCTTTCCATAGACTGGTCAGATTCTCCTGTTTCAACTGCTGTCTGCTGTTTCTCCTCTCCCAGACATGCACCACTGACTCCATCTTCTAGATGGCCTGTAGTTACAGCAGCCTGCAGCCAGATCTCCCTGTAAGCTGCCTCTTCCCAAGCCAAGTACGGTTCCCCTCTCTCACACGGCCAGACCTCAGTCATCATCATCACCCTCCACTGAACTCACACCACTTTATCAACGAGTTTTTCATCACATAATTAGTCACAAACTCTTTCCATATGCAAGCATTAAACTTGTTGTTTTTAAATCACTGTGGGGGGTAAAAAAAAAAAAAAAAAGGAACTTTCATACTCCTAGACATAGATATAAGGCTCATTTTGGTGGTTAGAGATGAAGCTCAATTCCTCACTGCAGTATAAAAATCACATTTCCCATGCTGTTAGACAACCTTTATTTTTTCAAGATCCTTTATACGGACCATATGCTAGGTTTAAGTAGTGTAAATGGCTTCGAAACAATCTTCTGAGCAAGTGGAAAGTCATCTTTCTCACTAAGATTATCCCCTAACTCTGGTAAACAATCGAAGCTCCAGCCTTCAATGAAATCCCAAGGACAGCTACACTGCACTGGAACTACTGAAAGATACTAATGAGAGGGGTTGAAAGACTACACTGACCCTTCAGTGCCAACAGCAAGCTCTTTGGAAAAGAAGGAAGCTGAAGAAGTTTCCTTTGCATATCTTCACAGCCTCTGGAGCTCCCTGGCTGACACTGAGACTGGTTCAGAGTGTTTAACAGTGCTTGATGGACTTCTCATCCATGAGTTTCTCCATTATTTAAAAGAAATCACTGGCATATTCTCGGCACTCAAAGCATCCCAAGTTAAGATTATATAGTTGTTAAATCATATCAAGCAGGGTTTCTGTTCTGTTAACTATTCTGCTTGTTACTCTATTTTATGCTCAAATTTCTTGTTTTAAGAATGACTGATTTGTTTTCTACTGTTCTATATGTTAGTCAGAATTTTGAAAATTTCTACTGTTTGTCCCTAAGTAGCATCTTTCCCAACAGATTCCAAATCTGGTCTTCTGTGTGTATAACTTACTCCTTATTTGTTATTACACTACCCCCAAATTATCTCAAATTTCCATTTTTTGAGATAGATAGACATCAAAACAACTCACAATGTTTGTGAAGTCTAATAATAGTTTGGGCTGCCTATTCTCTGTGTTTCTATAACTATTTACCTTCTAAACAGAACGTTAATGCTTCTGAAAGCCAAAACAATTAGCAGTGTCGCTATTAAATTCCCAGGGGCAGAACTGAATTCACTTTCTTGATTGATCTCTGCCCAGTTTCCTCACTCTATTCTGGAAAAATCCAAATACATGTTCTCGTCTTGGTTGTTGTTCCTACATACATAGAATTAGAAGCACCTCCAATAATTAAGTACAAATATGCACAAAACAACAGCTTGATATTCTAATCTGATCAGCCAGTCAACCTCAGTTCACGGACTAGAACAATGAGAAAAATACAGGATGAAATCTTTCTATTCTGACTAAAAACAGCTGGCCACGTTTCAGGAGAATTCAGTGGTTCACGCATTTCTGCCTATAAACTTCTTCTGACTGTGGAAGTTCACATTGCCTTCATTGTTATCAGCTCACACAGGGTTGTAATTTGCATATGGGAAAGGCAATAAAAGCTTTTACATTAAAAAATTATAAATAAATAGAAAGACATTGACCTTGGAAGCTCCTCATTTTTACAGCCCTCATTAAAAGGAATGTTTCTGACCTACACTCTATCTCAGGCATCTCTTTTGTCCTCAGACATTTTTACTACTCCGTTTTTGTTCAAGTTAAAAAAAGTAAGGATGAAAACAACCTTTATAAGCATTATTGAATATTTCTTGGTATTGTATTAAAAGAAAAACTGCTCCAAATGCTTCTGTGTATTTATTCCAAGTTATAACTAAAATACGTATTTATGTTCATATAGCATTTCTCAACCTTCTTGAAGATAATCCCTACACCAGTTATAAAATGATAATAAAATCTATTCCCCTACTTCAGTACTACCACAGCAAAAACAAAAACACAGCTTAATACACACATTCGTTATTACTTGTGACAGTTCTATGCTGTGGTAAGGAGTTCACTGATCCCAAGCTACAGCAGATTGTAACAGTAGCAATGGTTTTGTTGGGAGGAGCACTGTATGTTTACCTCTTTATGAATATTTTTTATGTTTTCCCTAGATACCACAAAACATTGAGAAGACTTTTTTCCCCCCCAACTCAATGTAAACATTTATTTTTCCTTAGTGTGACATTTCAAAAGCTGTTCCTTTTCCTAGATTTGCCCAAAATAAGAACTGAGCAGACTTAATCCAAGTTAAGGTAAAAACTTTTGCAAGGTTCATAAAACTACAAACCTTCCCCCTTGCTCATTCAATCCTCAGGCATTGATACAACAGTGTATAAGTAATGAAACCAAATAAAGCTTAAAGGGAAAATGAGATTTCTGTCCTGAAATGCAGTCTGGAGACATTAGCATGATTAAGGTAACATTCTAGCATAAAGAAACAAGGAGCAAAGGACACATACTATTCTGTACTAATGAAAATAAACACTCTAGGCCATTCGGGGGTTGCTAAAATACTGTTTACTAGCATGCAGACTGACAAATTCTAAACTTATCCAAAAATGTTTTTCTTCCTGGGCAAACGGAAAACTATAGAATGAGAAATACATCTTAGTAGCGTTTAGGAAGAAAAACAAATCTGTGTAACTAGTTAAATAAGGGAAAGTAAGCATCAAAATCCACACTTACAGAAGGAAAGCTGCTAGTATTCACCTAATACAGAATGACTTTATCCAAGTTTAAGAGCTTTTAAGAAAAAACTGACTAGTTTTCATTGTCAGTGGTTAATTGCATGTACTTGTACAGTATGAGGCTGAGTGCATTCTGTTCCATAGGGCTTACAGGCATTACTGGATTCTAAGCCATGCAAGACCAAGAATATTATACCCTCAAGCACAAGGCTGTGATACATTTTTGTCAAATAGTGCTAACCCAATTTTTAGCAATTTTTAACATTAGAAAAATTACATAGAGTTTCTCATTTAGAGGATTATAAATTATGAGATTCCCATTAGCCCCCACACTTTAAGCCCCCCTGAAACTTGTAGGATTATCAAGTGGGAGGAAAGCAAGTTGGTCAAGTGAGAAGGTGCACCTGTTCTCTTCTGGTATGTACACTATCTAGTTCAAGTATGATACTAATCCCTTGTCCTGGTCAAAATGAGCACTGTATCATGTTTCATATACTTAATTTTCTATGATCTCTCCTCTTCTTTCACAGTCTTTTCACCACATGAATATTAATAAGCAGACTTGCTACTCAAAAGCAAATTTTACATGTAAGTCATCTTGTGTAGTTTGTATTTCTAACTACACAGAAAAAAATGGATAAAAAGAAATCTAAAACTTTTACTCTTCATAAAATGAAATCTTTATAAAATACAATTTTCTGCAATTTTAAGACTTCCAGTGAGAATTTATAAGAAGTCAGTTAATTATTAGCCTACAGTAAGGATGAGAAGTCCACAAGTCCACACAGGCATATCAACCACAACTAGCTGAAGAAAACTTCTCCAGAAATTACCTAAGTCCATTTCTTATACTATTCTCACCACGTAATCCCAAACACAATGTCTTATCCAAGCAATTCATAGAACTACAGTTCTTCAGCACATTCTCAGAGCTTACTGCACCTGATGGTATTTCGATGATGAGCTTTTACTCCTCCTTGCTCTTCCAAGTAAGAGAGGAAAAAGTAAATTTCTGAGCTTAGGCAGGAAGAAGCACATCCACTACTGGAGCACAGAGGAGAACAGCACCATGTGGACAACTACGAAGCTTATTTCATAAGACATGCTAGTTTAGCCATGATTTTGAAAATACAGCATGGACATCCACCAGTGCAGTTGAGACTAAATGTATAGATCATTAGGATTCCAAACACTCATGTCACCCTCACTCGTACCATCAGCTGTGAGTGAATCAGCAATTTGGGTGTGACTGAAGCCACTTCACTGGCTGGTGTGTATCACAACACTTCCTCCTCTTG